TGTCTAATAACAGTGCTAAATTTGTTCCTCGTTGCGTTTTGTTCCTGTTCCGATTGTATATTATGATGATTGTACAATAAATCATTGAGTATTATTATTAACCGCATGTTCCTAATCTTGGGTAGTTAATTCAATAATTTTCAGGAATATTGTCATTGAATGCAGTAACTTAGATCTAGGCAATTGTTACGTGAGCACAAAATAAAGGTTGAAAACTCTGTAATGTAATGTAATATAATGTATATTCAAGTAGTAAATGACTGCGCAAACTCCTTAAAGCATTTGTGTTGAACTTTTAAGAGGTCACGTCAATAAGTTCGTGGAATAAATGTGTGGGCTCAAATTTCATTGGGCTATCATTGGGAAGTAAAGACTAGAAAAGAGTTGCGGGGTGACTTGAACTTTAGTCTTAGTCAGTTTGAATAGCCCATCATGGAGAAGATGTCATGGAGGTCATGGTTGAATAGGGGCTAAAAGTTCTCATTACACTCCTAGGGGGTCAAAATGGCCAAAAACCAAAAAATTAAAAATTCTTATTTCGGGTGTAACTCCGCCTCCTTCGAAGGTTCTTACAGTCTTTACTTCCCGCATCCCACTTGTTAATAAAACAAGTAAATCGGAAAGGTATTTTAAAAATTTTTGAAAATAGAATTGTGCGTCATTATTAAGTTCTTCAAGAATTAGAAAAATCCTATTTATTGAAATTATTGCGTTAAAATGTGGAAAAAGTAAAAAAAATATATTGGGAGATGCCCGTTTGAAAATCAAACACCTTGCAGAAATGATTGGAATGGCGAAACGATTTGAATCTTTGAAATACAATCATTTTGAATATTCTTCATGATTATCTTCTCATGTCAAAGGTGTGGTGAAAATATCACTCACCAATCCAATCGGCTCACGCTGTACCAAACGCAGTAACCATAAGCGTGTTGCCGCGAGGTTTTAGACCTTTGCAAGAGAAGGAAAGAAGTTTTGGATTGGAGCATAAGCATGCACCCGATGCAGTGATACAGAATTAGCATAACGGTTTCCAAGAAGTTCAAGGTGTCAATCGGTCACAAAATTATTTTTGGGATTCAAAAATAATTATTTTGATTGATTACAACGAAAAAGGTGTTTCAATAACGGGAGAATACTACATTGGAATAACTCAGAGCTTAAAAGGGCGCTGTAGGGGAAAAAGGCCGCTGTAGGGGAAAAAGGCCGTGTAGTGGCGGTTAAGAATATCCACTACCCCATATCTTCCCGTGGGCAAAGGAAAACAGGCAGGAGATGGGCAGCAGCATCTTGCTGATAACAGCAAAAATACAATAAAATACCCCCCTATGAATGTAACAAAGAGACTGCCCCCAGTCCCCGTCGGCTCCGCTATTCCTGGCTACGGTGGCGACCATGGTAACGGCGGGGCAGGGGTTGCTAAGAATCTCCGGTGGAGGTTCGGTTGCCACCTAAAACGACTCGACCTGGCAACATAGAACGCACGCACCCTGAGGACTAACGAGAAGATCGTGGAGCTGGAAGAAGAGATAGACAAGTTACGCTGGCATATTATAGGATTATCCGAGGTCCGAGGGGAGGACACGGTAATCCTCGAATCCGGCAACTTGCTTTATCACCGGGAGGGCGACCATCTGTCCCAAGGAGGTGTCGGATTTATCGTCCACAAGTTTCTCGTCAACAACGTTGTAAAGATTGAGAGTGTGTCGACGAGGGTTATATTTTCTATCTTTTATCTTATACCCAGAATCACCAAACGGTATTCGCTGAAGGTCATACAGGTTTACGCACCAACCTCGGCACATCTCGATGAGGAGGTGGAGGAAATGTATGAGGATATCTCTAGAGCCATGCATTCCTCCAAAACCCACTATACGGTGTTAATGGGAGACTTCAATGCAAAACTAGGCACAAGAGAGAACGGTTAGGTGAAAGTAGGGAAATTTAGAATAGGGCAACGGAACCCAAGGGGCCAACAGCTGACCGACTTCATGGAGAAAGAGTGACTCTTTATGATGAACACTTTCTTCCAGAAGCAGCTCCACAGGAAGTGGACCTGGTCGAGCCCCGATGGTTCGACAAAAAATGAGATCTAGCTAAGTTATGCAAGACCCACCGCAGAAGAACACAAAAGCTCTCCGATCACACTCTTAATCTCACTGTTAGACGGAAGATGAAGCTACATTCTTCAATAGATTTGACAGCATACAGGCATTTGAACAGACAGATCTCCAAATGCATGCGGCGGGACTTACGCAACTTCAATACAGCTTGTATCGAAGAAGCGATCGAGCGGAACCAAGGCTCCAAGGTCTTTGCCAGAGATCTGTCTGCCAGAAAGAGCCAACTGTCAAAGCTGAAGACCGAGTGTGGCAGCATCGTTTCCGTGACACCTGAGATTTTGAGTGAGATTGAGAGGTTCTATGGGCAGCTGTACACGTCATCGTTGGAGCCACACGCAAGTGTGAGTAACGATCCAAGAGCGAGTCTTATCCGACACTATTCCGAAGATATCCCGGACGTTAGTCTGAGCGAGATTAGAATGGCTCTCCAGCACCTTAAAAACGTAAAGTCCCCGGGCGAGGATGGAATTACAGCGGAGCTTCTGAAAGCGGGTGGAAAACCAGTACTTGAAGTCCTTCAGAAGCTCTTCAATTCCGTCCTCCATGGTGGCACTACTCCGGAGGCGTGGAGCAGAAGTGCGGTGGTCTTGTTCTTCACGAAAGGCGACAACGCTCTCTTGAAGAACTACAGACCGATTTTCCTTCTGTGCCGCGTCTATGTGCTGTTTTCGAGAGTCATTACGAATCGTCTCGCACGCAGACTTGACGATTTCCAGCCTTCCTAACAAGCCGGTTTCCGAAAAGGTTTTAGTACCATAGACCACATACATATCCTGCGGCAGATTGTACAGAAGACAGAGGAGTATAATCTGCCACTTTGCCTTGCGTATGTGGACTATGAGAAAGCCTTTGATTCCATCGAAATTTGGGCGGTGCTGCAGTCCCTTCAGCGGTGCCAAGTTGACTGTCGGTATATCGAAGTGCTGAAGTGTTTGTACAGTAGAGCTACGATGGCTATCGAAGTACAGAATCAGAGTACGAAACCTATCCAACTGCAGAGAGGTGTAAGACAGGGTGACGTTATATCCCTGAAACTCTTCACCGCTGCATTGGAAGACGTTTTCAAGCTACTGGACTGGAAAGGATACGGTATTAACATCAATGGCGAGTACATCACTCACCTTCGATTTGCCGACGATATAGTCCTTATGGCAGAATCGCTGGAGGACCTAAGCACTATGCTCAATGACCTCAATAGTGTCTCCCAACGGATAGGTCTTAAGATGAACGTGGACAAAACAAAGATCATGTTACCTGGGACAAATAGTCCGACTAGGTAAGTCCAACTTCGACCGAGAGGTCAATCGACGGATTCAACTCGGCTGGGCAGCGTTCGGGAAACTACGACACATCTTCTTGTTAGACATACCTCAAAACTTGAAAACGAAATTGTACAACCAGTGCGTGTTGCTAGTGATGACTTACGGATCTGAGACGTGGTCCTTCACTGCTGGCCGTATGAGGAAGCTCAAGGTCGCTCAGCGAGCTATGGAGAGGGCTATGCTCGGGGTTTCTCTGCGTGATAAACTTAGAAATGAGTATATCCGCAGTAGAACCAGAGTAACCGACATAGCCCAACGGATTAGTCAGCTGAAGTGGCAGTGGGCCGGCCATATAGCTCGAAGAACCAACAACCGATGGGGAAGAAAGGTTCTCGAGTGGCAGCCTCGTACCGGTAGGCGAAGTATAGGGCGACCCTCCACTTGATGGAGTGACGACCTGGTAAGACATGCAGGAAGTCGATGGATGCAGATCCGTGCTTTGTGGCATACTTGGGGGAGGCCTATGCTCAGCAGTGGACTTATGAAAGGCTGTGATGATGATGAGGGGAAAAAGGCGAGGAATATAGAGAAAAGCGTACTGCTTTTGCACAACAACACGCCATTGTATAAGGCTGCTGATGCTGTACAAAGAATGGGTTTTTAAAATTTGTACACCTTAAAGCCCAGATTATGATTTGAATAAATTTATAAAGTAAAGCCGAATTCAAAAAACTGTAATAGATTCAGATATCGGGCCTAAGACGTAGTATTGAAGCCCCGACTTTGGATGTTATTATATGACAATTATTTAATTATTTTGTCTAATTTGTTACCCTATTGAATGGACCAAGGAATATCGCAATCTAGAATGTCGTATATGTAAATAGTTATATTAAAAATTTTATAACCTATTTTGCCATCTTTAGGGATATTTTTTTTAAAAAGAACTTCTAGGGAATAATTGCGAATAACGATGAGGTCAAGAGCACAATTTCTGTCTATTGTAAGGAGAAAAAGAAATCTATCTTTTTTTACGGCATAAACATGTTAATTATAAGTAAAATGGAAAATGTGTAAGGGCCCAAAGAGAATCTATTGAGAAGGAAAAATTTGCGATTAATTTTATAGTTCTAGGAATAATTTTATGGTTCTTGGCTTCTCTTCTGCGAACTTATTTATATCATTTTAAGCAACGCTTATTAAAATATATAGACAATATTCCTGGGACAGTTGTTTTCATTATTTATAGTATGTTTTGAAATCTGCTAAAATTAATTATGTAAGATTATAGTTATTTACATTAAATGGTTTGGACACATTTTGAGTGGGATTGTGTGGTGGGTGCTTCTTATATTATTGCTATGCAGTTATAGAACAAATTTTAACTTAGTCTCAGCTGTAAACTATTTTATGCGCAATAACGAATTATTCCCTTACACGAATTCCCTTTTTATACATTTTTACATATGTACACTGTTTTTAACTCTTTGATCTTAATAGTTATTAACTGATTCGATTCGAATCAGTTAAATATTTTCAAACAGCTTCAATAAGTTTGCAGCTGAGTACTATAATCTTAAAACATATGTAGCATAATTATGTGGGATTTCAACAGGTGGGACGTGCGCTTTCTTTTAACAAGACGCCGTCGAAGTTGAAACGCGCGATGTCATCGATGATCTCGCCATTCGGCTCTACGTCCAACTTGACGCCGGCATCACAGCTGGCTCAGATGAGACTGGCCAGCTGCAATAATATCAACGTTAGTACACTGAATTTCAATCTTACACTTTTTCTCGCCTAGCCCCCACATTTCTAACAATTGTCTAAAATATTAATTTTGTATTTGGTTGGATGTAAAGGAATGATAGTGATGGATTCTTATTTCTAGTTTCGTTGTGTAATCAAAATAATTCGTGTATGGTGTAATCAAATTTTTAGTTCGAATCAGAATTGCAAATATTATTTATATTATTATTAATAATTATGTAAGTTAGAAGTGGCGGATATACCTTATTAAAATACTAAAAAGGCATTGAAGATTAGGGATACACACTTAGTACTTTGAATTTGACACTCATATACGTGGTAGAGCCACGCTGCAGCTATATTATGATTGTAGCACGAATGAATCAGCTCGACCGGTATAGAACCACGCTCTCACAGAATACCAGCGTTAAATAGAAGCTGTGTTTCTTATGGTGAGTGTAGAGAACCGAATATCCTTTTTACTGGAAACGAGGCATTCCATCTTAGTCCTCAAGGGTGGGATAAATGAAGATGTCTATGAGCTTTTCACTTACCATCAAGTGGACTGTGTTTGTTTGTCACCCTATTCTATAAAAAAAATGCTTTCGCTTCGTGATCGTCAACAAGTTATCAAAGTAAGAAAGTTCTCAACGCGCTCTATTTACCGTTGAAAATGAGCGAACCGCTCCAACTCAACTCTGTCAACTCTGAATCAAACTGGTTGGAGTTTGAACGTTTACGTAGTGAATGAATGCCGAAGTGAAATGTTGCAGGAGATGGGCACGAGCGGCGGCGGCGGCGCGGAGGGCGGCGAGGTGCTGGTGGCGCCGCTGTCCGTGCAGCCCACGCGCAAGGTCACCGCCGCCGCGCTGCGCCGCTTCTGACGCTCGCGCCGCTGCTAGCCGCACACACACACAAACACACACACACTCGTCACGTTATGCGACGCTACAAGTCGACCGTTCAAAGCGGAAGCCACACGATGCGTTACAGCGGCGGCGAGGTACCTTACCGCAGAGATATCGCCGCATTGGCTGCCACGCATTTTTATAGGACACACGACAACCGTTCGGGCACCGTGCCGCCGCCGCAACGCGCCGTGTGCCTTCGTTCTCAGTTGTTCAACCTTAGGCGCATCTAGCGCGGGGCACGGGAAGCGAATACGATAGTAAGCATGTATGGGCGTTTTAAACAGGTACAAAAAGTTGCGCCTATTGAAGCGAAATTCACGCGGGATGCTATAATTTCAATCCAAAATATACTTCAATTAATCTACTTGCAAGCAATATTTGTAAAATTAGTTTTAAATTATTACATTTGTAAAATTAGTTTTAAATTATTTAAAATGCATAAATTGAAATACAAAAGCACGTAATTTGCTCGAATGCTCAGATTCTTCTGCAATTTCTAACGATACTTAAACAAAAAATAAACACAATTGTGTCACTGATCGGCTTAGTTTTTATCGCATCCCGCACGTTATTCGCTCCATTCGTGCCGCTGTAGAAGTATGAAAGCATTAAAGTGCGTTGTAAAAAACGTGGAATGTTTGGATTGCTGAGCTGAGCTAAAAAGAGTTAGTCCTTTATAGAAAAACAGGACATTTCTCTGTAGATGTATGGGTGAAACCCATGCACCCACAGGGATATATATATAATTATGTATAAACATGTATGTGATGTAGGGATGGGAGGAGACGTGGTATTCTACTGGAGGGTGCAGTTTTTGTAGAGAGTGTTGGTAATCCCACGTATTCTGGCCTCTTGAAGTGTTTTCACTCGAGATTCCAAGTTTGAGATTATTTTTCTGTCAGCCGCACTCTGTGATAACAATATTGACACCATCCGCGGCAGTTCCTTTACATCTTTTTGGATGCTTAAGGGTAATGTGGGCTTTCTCACGATGTGCTGAAGCGGTGGACAAGCTAAGTGATGAGCATTGTCTTCTACATCAGTTCCTTCTTCTGCAGGATCGGAGTGTGTTTTCTCTCTGCCCTGAGACTTTTCTGATTAGCCTACCTCTTTTTTATGCCTCTGTATAGAATCCCAATGTGGTCCCGATGCCTGACACACCTTGGTGAATGACACAACCTTTACTTTTCCCAGCAAGAGCTTCGGGTGCCGCGCTCAGGTCATCCTCTTCTCCAGTGTCTGTTGTGTCTGTTATCATGGTCGTTTTGGTACTACAAATTTTGGATTGTAGCCAGCCTGCCAAGAATACGCCCCACCGTTCGCTCTCCGCCCCTTTGAACTATCAGTTAATCGTTTACATAGTCATGTCACTTAAAACCAATGCGACCGCTGCGAAGGGAGAAAGTCGTTTCTCGAATAATAAACCAGTGCTATTTTTTAACAAATAGGGATGTGGCAATTAATCTAATACGATTTGTTCTAGACAGTGTAAGTGAAAGGGTATAGAAGTGCCTTCGTATGAAGTATGAAAACAAGAATGGCCTTAATAATTTATTTGATAGTATTACCATTATGCAAAGCAAAACGGCCTTTAATATTGTTTTTTGATTTAATGTTAGTGATTTATCTATGTGAGATTGTAGTTATAAACTGTAGAAATGTGAACATTTCACTACACGATACTTGTAAATAAAAGGCGGCTTTAACGTGTACTACACACATCTGTTTGTTTGTTGTTATTCGAATAATTTATCTCCACTATTCTGGCAGATAAAAATCCAGTGGCCAGTTTCTGGGATCTGTGTAATAACATGGGTAAATTTTAATTATCAACAAGCTACGTGTCACATAGAATAATTGATATTATCGATATAGTTTTTATAATTTGTACATATTGTGATATTTTAATTTAATCATGGAGTAAGCCTCGTCAATAGGTAGAATAGTGTTATATTTGTTAATCTACCTTATCCGTCTGCTATCGATTTAAAAAAAAAAGCGTTCCTAATATTTGAATTATTGCTTCATTTGAACGTTTAACTGGATGCCCATTGGGTATTATATACAAAGAAATTAAAGTCGGTATGCTGAGTTCGTTCGTAGCTACTTGTACATAGCGTGTGTGTCCTACGCTCAGCCTCCTCCGAGGCATTGTCGTTCAAATCAATGTCCTGGAATGTATCTTTCTTCTTGTAACTGATGCGGAATCAAGCGTTTGTGCATCGGTAATCATTATGTGTACACATCGTTATGCAATGTACAAAGATTCATATTTATATGTTAAACGATTGAAGAAATAAACATAATTTCCAAACAATCAATGCTGTTTTACTGTTATTACAAAAGTACATCATCTATAATACATCTTTACATATTATTACAAAAGCATATAATATGTAAAGATGAAAAAAATAAATAAGAACATCAGATAAAAACGAGTTTTTAATTCTCGTCACAATAATGTTACATTGTTGGAGTTAGTTATTTCGTCGGCGCATAGTAGAGTGCAAGAACACATAGGCATTATGACACGCCCTCAACGGCACCGACAGCACTATAGCGGCAAGCGGCGTTAGCGCTATATACATATAACGCTCCGGCAGCTCATTGTGATTTAGCACTATCATTTTCAAAATTATGACAATCTACGAAAAAATACAAAAAATGATGAAATATTATATCTATTATCAATTCTATTATGGTATCAGTTAGGAATAAAGTATTACGAATTCAAGACGTATTACACTACACAGAATTTAGGAATAATGAAAGCAAACCAATTTTGAGCTCCTGATTCATTATACTGACGTTTTTAATACTGACACACTGAACTTAGGATCTTAACTGAGTCCCAGAGTACCCGACTTTTACAATGAGGCACTTTGTCCAAGCATCAAAAAAATAGGGCTTGTTCCAGTCAATTCAATTTAAGGTGGGGCTAAATGTTGGTCATTACAAGCTTTTTAACTTGCTTTTAATGTGTCTTTACTATTAAAAAATTGTAATCAATTTTTAAAGCATTTAGTGATATTGGAAATAAGTGGAAAGTGTGAGAGTGATATCGAAAGAAGAATGAATTCAGGAAACATGGTGAATGGAGCTTTGCACTCCTTTATGAGCAGTCGGAAGGTGTCTAATAAGGCTCGTTTGGCTGTTTGAGTGTTGGTTCCGACACTCATGTACGGAAGTGAAAGTTGGGTATGGCAGAAGAAACACGAAAGCAGAATAAATGCAGTTGAGATGAGAGCGTTAAGATGTATGATAGGAGTTAAACTGACTGACAGGATAAGAAATAGTGAGATAAGGAAACGTGGTCTGAAAGAAGATGTAGTGACAAAAATTGAGAAAGGTATGCTGAGATGGTTTGGCCATGTCGAGAGAATGAATGAAGAACGATTGACGAAAAAAGTGTATAAGGCGAGTGTGAATGAAAGTGCTGGAAGGGGTAGACCTAGGCGGACATTTCAAGACCAAATCAGGGACGTCTTGAAAAAAGGCCAGGTCAAGAGCACCCTAAACAGTAGAGCATATATGAAGAGAATAATGAAAGTGGACGAAGCGAAACAAGTATGTAAGGATCGTAGCAAGTAGAAAGAAGTGGTCTTTGCCTACCCCTACGGGAAAGAGGCGTGATTATATGTATGTATGTATGTATGTAGTGATATTTCTATTGAGATGACATTTGGCATACTTATGTAAACTTCAGTAACAATGCAATAATGCTTAAAACGTGTTTTAAGCATTATTGCATTTTTATCCGTGAAGCTGATCTGATGATGGGCCAGGTTTAGTGGACTTTTACACGATGTGTCTGGGGTGTGCTTATGCTTCGCTAAAAACTACGGTGGCTGCTTAATTTATTCTACGAGGGCGGGATGATAAGTAACTAGCCACTGCTATTTAAAAAGTTAAAATTAAAAATAATCGTATCTCTGGCCACCTGTGTTCTAAATTTGAATTTGGTGGCGTGAAAATATTATTGATTTTTTGTCATTTGAAAATATATTTCGTCAACCGTTTTCAAAATGGATAAAATTGAACAAAGAGCGGTGATTCAAATGAAGGGCATGAAGGGGAAAGATATCTTGACGAGTCAAAGAATGTTTTCTTTTTTTATAGAAGAGGGGGCAAACGAACATGCGGCTCACTTGATGGTAAGTGACTAAAGGTGTAAGCTCTTTTCTTGAAGGTTCCTAAGTCGTATCGGTCCGGAAAAATCGCTGGTGGTAATCGATTCCACAAAAAAGTTGTGCGAGGGAGAAAACTTCTAAATCGCACAGTGGTGGACCGCCAATCATCCAGATGGTATGGATGGTATCACGAGTTTTGTCGCGATGTGCGATGGTGAAATTGAGCGGCTGGAATTAGTCCGAACAATTCCTCAGAGCACTTCCAATTGTTTTGGGTGAATGTGCTCCTTCATATGCCACAGTAAAAAACTGGGTGGCTGAGTTTAAACGCGGTCGTACATGTGTCCAAGATGACCGGGCCGATCGCCCCGGACGTCCAAAAAGCGTCACGACTCCGGAAATGGTCGTGAAAGTACATGATATGGTTTTAGCAGATCGACGATTGAAATTACCTGAAATAGCTGACACTACAGGTATCTCAAAAGAACGGGTACATCATATCCTAAGTGAGGAATTAAATATGAAAAAGTTATCGGCCCGTTGGGTGCCGCGATTGCTTACGCACAATCAAAAAAGGATTCGGGTGCAAAATTCAAAAGAATGTCTGGACCTGGACCGTTTTCAGAGTAATAAGGCCGATTTTTTACGTCGATTTGTAACAACAGATAAAACATGGGTTCATCATTACACGCCAGAATCAAAAATTCAATCGAAACAGTGGACTCAATCGGGATGCCCAGCTCCAAAAAAAGCCATGGCTGTAAAGTCGGCTGGAAAAGTGATGGCTTCCGTCTTTTGGGATGCAGATGGGATCTTCATGATAGATTACTTTCCTAAAGGTCAAACAATTAATGGAGAATACTACGCTAATCTTCTAGATAAGCTTCATCAATTTATTCAGCAAAAACGATCAGGTTTGGTGAAAAAAAAATCATCTTCCACCAAGACAATGCTAGGGTTCACACATGTAAGCTATGGCAAAAATCAACGAGTTGAAGTATGATTTGTTGCCCCACCCACCTTATTCGCCTGATCTAGCGCCATCAGACTTCCACTTATTCCCTAAGCTCAAAATTTTTTTGGGCGGACAAATTTGCCACAAATGAAGTCATAGCTTCTGTAGAGGAGTATTTTGCAGGCCTCGAAAGAAATTATTTTATGGAAGGCATTACTGCTTTAGAACGAAGATGGAATATGTGCGTAGAGGTTCACGGAGACTATGTCGAAAAATAAAATAATTTTATCACGGAAAGTTAAGTGTTTTCTTATTAGACTAGTTACTTATCATCCCGCCCTCGTATGTAGATTCTTACTAAAATACAACCATTGAATTTTTTGTATTTCTGAGTTTTTAGGCCTCCTTCAAGGAATGCCCAAAGCACGATGCTAAGCTACCTGCATCCATCGACTTCCTTCATGTCTTACCAGGTCGTTACTCCATTAGTTTCTAGAATGTTCCGCAGTGGACGTATAAAGGGTTGTAATAATGATGATGATTTATAGGGTTTTAATATATTGATAATTTGAAATGCATCTTTTGTGTTTATGTCACGATACTGAAATTGAATGTTTCCGGCAAAAGTTTCATCTAATATTAGTATACTATTTGTTTCGTGATATAACTACGCCTACCACCGAACCATGTGATCGTCAAAGGCATATTGAAAAGTACATACTAATGCAATAAATGGTATTATGTGCCACTGAGTGTTGATTCTTGTAGAGCACAAATTTTCTTCTGTGGCGACGTTCATATCTGATATAAAGTCGTGGCCGCGGTACACGTATAGTAATGCCACTAACTCTAGCAGGCACACGTACGGTGTTGCTAAGCCGGACATAACAGCTTCCACGCTTTCCAACAATGCAAGCCCATTCTGTAAAAAAAACCTTTTGATATAATCAGATTTTTTTAAATAAAATTTAACAAAGTATACATAGTTATTGAGATTAAAATACGTAACAGCTTTATCTGACCTTGTTAACCGTTTCTGCTGCGTAAAGAACTGCATTCTATATTTTTAAACTGAAGTAACAAAGGTAAGTAGTTACTGCAGCCTCTGAGCACCTGCAAATAACTACAAACAAAGAACGCTACAGATGCGTTGTCATCTCTGACGAAAAAGATGAAATTACTCACATATTGTAACTACTGGATCTGTATACCCTTCAGAATGGAACACAGCAGTACCACGCACTGCTGCTTGCCAGCAGAAATACGTAACAGACGAACGCTTAGGCAGTGAAGGAGTCATACCACCTAGATTCACTTTAGTGTTTCAGACATTTAAGAACTTACTTATGAATTAACTTACTAAGTAAAAAAAAAATATCTATAACATAGGCAATATTATTTCGTCAAACGTAAAAGCGCCTATACTTACACTGGTTGCGAATAGTAAACTTAACGCCATGCAAGTCACAATCAATCCACCAACCACGGCTTGCTCCACGAAACTAAAAATGTGTAAGCATTTAAATTTATGTAGACGATTACCAAAATGTAAAATAAAACCGTGTAAAGTAGCACTCACACTAATTTCACTCTGTATTCGAATATGGTGTGCAGCGCCGTCTTGAGCAGTACAAAGGCAACTGTCATGTAAGAAAACATCAATCCGCCAAATAGTAATGTTGACCTTAGCAACACGAATAATTTAAGAATATAACATTATTTTTTTTAATAAATTACATACTTCATTAATAAATCTGCGTGTGCAGAATACTTACAAAAGATGCGAGTAATTACCGACAAGAGTACATTTAGAGTACATAGGTAATATCCACAAATTACCTGAAACAGAGATATTTTTATGACCAATGATATAATGAGTCGAGGTCTGAGAGATGTCATTTCTACAGGCCAGATCCGTAGGGTCGGCTGTCGGCTGGTTTCTTTCATCGTTAAGTAGAATCTTTCATCTAAGAAACGCAAACGTTGGCCCTATTGTAGGAGTAGTTACGCTATTATTATTTAGGTTTTATGTGATAAATGTAAACCTTTTTAATTTCTCATAAATACGCAATGAGGGCTAAGAATCTTCCACTAACCAGATGTCGCTAGTTGTGACTGAGGTAAAGGTTTTTGTTACACTGTGTCAGTTAATTGAGAAGTTAGTTTTAAATAATACTTTATCATTATCTAGAGTATTAAATTAATACACAACACAATGCGTCAGTGGTTTGACTTTTAATTTTTTGCACTTTATAACTCTTTTTTATTTTTCTACTTTTAGTAATATTTATAGTTTGGTTTATTCATTTCTAATAATACGGAAAGAAACATTAAAGTTTACATTTTCCTAAGAAATTATCATCCCCCGCTATGAAATCTGTCAAATATTTTACCTCATTGTAAAGTGGCGCCGCCCTGGTGGCAGAAAACGTCGTGGATGCCCTCATTATGCTACTGTACTATTAAATTTTACGTTATTTAACTTTTCGCAACATTACTCTGTGTTAGCTGTGGTTGCCTATAACTGCGTGAGCACATTGCATGTTTCTCACAATGCTTGTATCTTGTTTTTAGTTTTTGTGTATCTTGACTGACTCTTATAAATAAATAAATAAATGTTATCTCTAAGCCATAAAAAGCCTTTTCCAACTGCATCCAGGGTTCTTTGGTACTAGCAGCTCTACTCCATAGTTTATCGGACGCCTTGCAAAATGGCCACTCGTTTCGTCGAAGACTGCGACGTAGCCATGTATTCTGATGACTTGGATACGCGGTTGCCCCTATATCAATCTAACAGTATTAAATGAAATAAACAGAGCAATTTTCAGTTATAATACGGTGTTCAACATAGGCTGGTGGCAGCATCCATCGCCCATCTCATACCATGATTCTCTTCAGCGTATTGATATTGGTGGTATACTTTGGTTATTAAATATTTAAAAGTAAAAAAGTAACTGTATAAGCCAACGGCGCTAGATGTGCTGAACTAGAGCAACGTCAAAAGTGCAAGACGTCTGGTACTATAATATGATTTACGTTTTAGGATTTTTATAATTATGTAATCAATTATAATCATATAAGAAAGATTTTTTTCTACTATTTTAGTAGAAATTTGTTAAAATTTCTTCCGTTTAACAAATATGAAAATTTGATAAGCGGAACACTTTCGGAATCATTTCGATATCCATCCATTCGTTTGTCACAGGCAATTTTCTCTAAAGTTATGTTCCGTAATCATTTGTATTTTTGCACTGAGATAGTGTGATAGCCTAACAAACTTCAAAACAAAATCGAATAGGCGCCGCGTAGATAAATAGTGCATTTGCCAAACTACATTTTGAGTTAAATACAAAAAGCAAGATCCTGGTTAACAGGCTGTGATGTACTGCGACTGTCCCCAAATCTCCGTCATTCAATCAAAGTCTGCCTTCGATTTCATCTCAAAAAGCATGATTTACAGATGCTAACGTGAGTAGGTTAGGATGAATTACATAATTAACTTCCAATAATATGCGTTTTATAATTGCGAGAGCCACGCTGCAGCTATATTGTGGTTGTAGTACGAATGGGTCGGCTCCACCGGGGTAGGACCAGGCTTTCACAGAATACCAGCGTAAAATAGCAGCTTCATGCTGCTGTGTTTCGTATGGTAAGTGTAGAGAACCATCCATCTTAGTCCTCAGGGGTGACAAAACATCTGTATTTTGATTCTTAATCGAAGATAAATAAATGTCTATGGGGCGCAGCATCCACTTACCAAGGTCCCGAAACCTTTCGGCTAGAGTTACAAGATCGTTTTCATTGCCTATGCCTTTTGACGGCTTCGTGGCGGAGCGAGTTAGCAATGAGTTGTTGCTCTGGGGGCCGCGGGTTCGAATCCCGCACGGAACAAGTATTTGTAAGGCCTACAAATAATTGTTCCGGGTCTGGGTGTTTGTCCTCGTGCAATCTATGTTTGTAAACTACCTCCATGATACAGGAGAAAATCCTAGTATGGTAACGTTTTTTTTTAAACAAAGAAGATTCCAATGCAGTGGACGATATGAATGACAAGCTCGTGGAAACTGTCTATGCGGTCGGAGCTAAGTTTTGCAAAACCAGCCGCAGAAGAACTCAAAAACTCTCCGATCACACTCTCTTATCTGACACTATTCCGATGATATTCCAGACATCAGTCTGAGCGAGATTAGAATGGCTTTTCAGCACCTTAAAAATGGCAAGTCCCCGGGCGAGCATGGAATTACAACGGAGATTCTGAGAGCGGGTGAAAAACCGATACTTGTAAGTAAAGTTATGGTAAGTCTTTCAGAAGCTCTTTATTTCCGTCCTCCATGGTGGCACTACACTGGAGGCGTGGAGCAGAAATACGGTAGTCTTGTTCTTCAAGAAAGGCGCCAATGCTCTCTTGAAGAACTACAGACCGATTTCCCTTCTGAGCCGCGTCTATGTGCTGTTTTCGAGAGTCATTACAAATCGTCTAGCACGCATACTCGACGACTTCCAGCCTCCCGAAGAAGCCGGTTTCTGAAAAGGAATTAGAACCATAGACTACATACATACCTTTCGGCAAATTGTACAGAAGACCGAGAAGTACAATTTGCCACTATATCTTGCGTGAACGTGGCATTATGTGGGCTGTGAGAAAGTCGTTGATTCCGTCTAAATTTGGGCAGTGCTGCAGTCCCCTCAGCGGTGCCAAGTTGACTGTCGGTATATCAAAGGGCTGAAGTGTTTGTACAGTAGGGCTACGATGGCTATCAGAGTACAGAACCAGAGTACGAAAACTATCCAACTACAGAAGTGTAAGGCAGGGTGACGTTATATGCCCGAAAGTCTTCACCGCTGCATTGGAAGACGTTTTCAAGCTACTGGACTGGAAAGGATACGATATTAACAGCAATGGCAAGTACATCATTCACCTACGATTTGCTGACGATATAGTTAGTTCTTATGGCGGAATCGCTGGAGGACCTAAGCACTATGCACAATGACTTCAATAGTACCTCCCGACGGAAAGGTCTTAAGATGAACATGGATAGAACAAAGATCATATATAACGTCCATGTCACACCTATGCCGGTAGTTGTTGGGAGCACTAAGCTCGAAGTTGTTGACGAGTATGTTTACCTGGGACAAATAGTCCGACTAGGTAAGTCCAACTTCGACCGAGAGGTCATTCGACGGATTCAACTCGGCTAATTATGTTGATCACAAACTTTTATTAAATAAATTAGAATCAATAGGAATAAGAGGACCCACCTATCGGTGGCTAAAATCCTACTTAAACAATCGAAGTCAACGCGTAGTAGTCAGCAAGTTAGTAGGCAACGAAGTTATATCTTACGCTTCTGAATCAAAAATTGTTGAGTGTGGTATCCCCCAAGGAAGTGTGCTAGGGCCTCTAATGTTTATTTTATCAACGATATAACGGTAGTGACAAATCATAAATGTGTTTTGTTCGCCGATGATCTATCTATTATTGTGACATCTGATAAAAACTCTATACACGATCACGAAATTGATATAAATAAAACAATTGGCTAAACGTAAACAATTTAAAACTAAATCTAAATAAATCACATTTTATCCAATTTAATCAATCCAAACATAAACAATTAAATTTTAAGCTAAATATTAATAAAATAAAGGAAATAAGGTCTACCAAGTTTCTGGGAGTAGTCATAGACCAGGACCTAAACTGGAAATTACATATAGAGTCTTTGTGTAATCGTATTAATAGTTTTGTATATGCCCTTAACAAAATGAGAAAAGTGACAAACTTACAAACTATAGCTTCCATTTTGCGCTACGGGTTAATAATGTGGGGAAATAGCACAAATATACAAAAGGCGTTTATAGCTCAAAAAAAGTGTATTAGAGCTATCTCTGGAATACCGCCTGGCATATCCTGTAGAACAGCTTTTGCAAATCTCAACATACTTCCGCTGCCGGCACTATATATTTTTGGAATAAGCTGTTTCGTGAAGAGAAATATCAATTTGTTTATGAAAGCAAGGGACATGAACACAAGATTGAAGCGAAATCCTAATAGACTTGTGTTAGACGTTATCCCAAGGTCAGCTAAATACCATAAAAGTTGCCTAAAAATGTGTTTAACGATATATAATATAATTCCTAATGACATCACAAATTTAAATATTAATCAATTTAAATCAAAATTATTGAAGTGGCTCATTGACAGAAAAATATATAACATTAAAGACTTTATTGACATCAATCCCTAATATTATTAATGTTATATGACATATTTTAATTTATCTTTAATTCAATGTAATTTATTGTAATGAGACTTTGTGATATTTTTATGATTATACAAGATAATAATATTAATTTTGCATGCTATTTGTAATAGCGTGACATGTGCACCTTTTTAACATGTACCACCTTTATATACCATGTTCTTACGCAAATAAAAATTCTTATTCTGATTCTGATTCTGGGCAGCGTTCGGGAAATTACGACACATCTTCTCATTAGATATTCCTCAAAACATGAAAACGAAACTGTACAACCAGTGCGTGTTACCAGTGATGACTTATGGAACTGAGAAGTGGTCCTTCACTGCTGGCCGTATGGGGAAGCTCAAGATCGCTCAGCGAGCTATGGACACGGCTATGCTCGGGGGTTCTCTGCGCGATAAACTTAAGAGATAAATGAGGATATCCGCAGTAGAACCAGAGTAACCGATATAGCCCAACGGATTAGTAAGCTGAAGTGGTAATGGGCCGGTCAATAAGCTCGAAGAAGCGACAACTGATGGGGAAAAAGGGTTTTCGAGTGGCAGCCTCGTACCGGTAGGCGGAGTGTAAGGCAACCCCTCACTAGATGAAGTGACCATCTGGTAAGACATGCAGGAAGTTGATGGATGCAGGTGGATCAGGACTTTGCTTTGTGGCATTCCTTGGGGGAGGCCTATGTTCAGCAGTGGACTTGTGAAAGGCTGTAATGATGATCATCATGTAATGATGGCATGTAATGATGATGATGATGATAATTATAAAGGAATTTTTAACGTTATGTTGATATCGTACCCCACAAACTTACTAATCTGACACATTAAATTAAAAATATATATGCCATATTGGAGAAAACCAATCATCATCATCATCATCATCAACCTGTAAGTCTTCCACGCTTCGTAGGCAGACTAACCGTCATAGCAGAAGTTTCACACGTTTGATCTTGCCGTGACTGGTAGTTTTACGCCGGGGTTGATTTTACGCTTGGCGTAAATGAGATGGCTATACTGCAATCTATCTTAAGCTATAAGTTCTTTGCCGAATACAACACCTCATTTCATACCGTGGGTGGCGTAAGAGAAGAAGTAGAAGAGGAAACTTATGCCGCCACTACACGTTCAATACTATATAAGACTATACTATGAAAATATCGCGGATCGCGTTAAATTTGAACCTTTTTAATTGATAACAAAAGGTGATAGAAATTTTGTTTCGAAAATTCGTAAAATTAGTTTTATCGAACATCTAATGTATTAGATTGATCTATTATTAGATATAATAGATTGCCAATCTGTCTAGTGGGAACTTTTCAGTAGTATTGTTTATAAGTACGAGCTACAAGTTTCTCACTCTCATACATGTTGTAGACCGATCGATTCCGACCGTTCGATTGTGCGCAGAAAGATGCACCGCCGACATGCAGAGCTGTTAGTACGAGCATCAAACCAGACTGCCATACGTTCTCACTGTTTAAGCGGGGATCTATATGTCCTGATGCTGGTGACATGAAACAAAGTTAATTTCTTTTATTTATTTAAAAACTAAAATAATGTAGATAAACAACATAGATATACCGTAATGGTTCAATCCTTTGCCATGTATAAGCTCAGTACCAGTACTTGCCGAATGTATGTAAAGAGCGCATTCAATAGCATCAGAAAAAATCTAAAAAATGTAAATGTTTATTTATATGAACCTAACATTCAAATGACTAAGAATGAAGTTCTACTTACAATAAGAGATTCCTTTGCTCCCATGCGAAAAACTCTCCCTAAGCTTGTATTTATATTACTCAGGTTAGCAATTGCCATGCCCGCCAATAATAACATCCATATCCAAGGAATGGCTACAAGCCATAAATACATATTATTCCAGACTAACTAGAATAAAGTGTGAATAATAAAATTCTATGATTTAGTAAATTGCAAAAAATTATACTTTCTGCATTCTTATTACATAGGTGGCTCAAACTAACGTTGACATAAGTGATTTAAAAAATTACTTTATTAATTTGATTTGAATTAACTTAAAAATCATAAAGATAAGTTTTATTTTGATTTTAAATAAGCAGTGGACTTTAATAGGCTGTAATGAATAACGGATGTATAAATGTTTGCTCTTTATTATAGGAATCACGAAATCCACGGACTGTTGCCAAAAAAATTGCTCTTGACTCGAAGAAAGAGAAATAGTTTCAAAGATGTTTCGTCTGCAATTATCTTGGTTAAATTTGATACAATTTTCTTCAAAACTAGGAAAATTTAGCCAGTGGTGCGAATTGCACAACAAACTAAAACGTTTTTCAGGTTTAGGTGCTTTGAGACAACTGGAGGTGAGTTCAGCAATGAAAGAATTTTCTTTTTGAAATCTTTAATTTTGCCAAAGTTAATTTGGGCCACGATATATGTCTTATAGAATCTAAACTTACTCTTCCATACGTAAAACGCTCTATAACCAGTAAAATCCACAGCACAGACCATACAAAAACTATACAATACAATAAGGGCGTATTCAATTTTCTAAAGTTGTAATCAGATCGCCACAACATTACTTCTACACTGAAACGATATGATTTTTTTTTAAAACTAGCACAAAATAATTATAAAATTAAATTTATCACAGTTTATTATATATACTTACTAAAAGAAATTATATGGTGGAGTACTAAATAAGGCAGGGTAACCGTTGCTGTAGGTTTCTTTACACATCTGTGTTTGTTGTGATTGTCGCCCTTTTACAAATTTACCTCTAATAAAGAAAAGCTCTAATAAAAAAAGTTATCAATAAAAAAAAACTATGCATTAATTTGTTGATATTAACCTTAAATTAAATATAGTTTAGATGAGTATATCGTGGACGCATTTATGTTATTAAGTGATTATTAATCAAGAAAGAGGTCACAATAGTGTTAATATTTAAAATAAAGAAAAATGTTTTAATAAATATCTTACCGTGTAGTGGCGGTTAAGAATATCCACTACCCCATATCTTCCCGTGGGTGTCGTAAAAGGCGACAAAGGAAAACAGGCAGGAGATGGGCAGCAGCATCTTCCTGATAACAGCAAAAATAAAATAAAAAAACTGCGGTTGCCAACCCGCTCGCCAAGCGTGGCAACTATGGCAAATACCCCCCCATGAATGACAGTAACAAAGAAACGGCCCCCAGTCCCCGGCGGCCCCGCTATTCCTGGCTACGGTGGCGACCATGGTAACGGCGGGGCAGGGGGTGCTAAGAATCTCCGGTGGAGGTTCGGTTGCCACCTACGACGACTCGACCTGGCAACTTACAACGCACGCACCCTGAGGACTGACGAGAAGATTGTGGAGCTGGAAGAAGGGATAGCAAGTATTACCGGGACGGCGACCATCTGTCCCAAGGAGGTGTCGGATTTATCGTCCACAAGTCTCTCGTTAACAACGTGGTAAAGATTGAGTGTGTCGACGAGGGTTGCGTACCTTATACTCAGAATCACCAAACGGTATTCGCTGAAGGTCATACAGGTTTACGTACCAACCTCGGCACACCCTGATGAGGAGGTGGAGGAAATGTATGAGGATATCTCTAGAGCCATGCATTCCTCCAAATCCCAATATACGGTGCTAATGGGAGACTTCAATGCAAAACTAGGCACAAGAGAGAAAGGTGAGCTGAAAGTAGGAAAATTTGGAATAGGGCAACGGAACCCAAGGGGCCAGCAGCTGGCCGACTTCATGGAGAAAGAGGGACTCTTTATGATGAACTCTTTCTTCCAGAAGCGGCCCCACAGGAAGTGGACCTGGTCGAGCCCCGATGGTTCGACAAAAAATGAGATTGACTTCATTATGACGACCAGACGACAACTATTCAGTGATGTCTCAGTGATCGCGAGGGTGAAAACCGGCAGCGATCACCGAATAGTTAGAGGCATACTGAACCTAAACGTTAAGTTGGAGAGGTCTCGTCTAATGAAGTCTACGCTCCGTACCCCTCGTGCTCTAATCCAAAGTCCCGAAACCTTTCAGCTCGAGCTACAAAACCGTTTTCAGTGCCTAGAAGACTGCAATGAAGTGGACGATATGAATGACAAGCTTGTGGAAACTGTCCATGCGGTCGGAGCTAAGTTCTGCAAGACCCGCCGCAGAAGAACACAAAAGCTCTCCGATCACATTCTTTATCTCATGGTTGTTAGACGGGAGATGAAGCTACATTCTTCAACAGATTTGACAGCATACAGGCAACTGAACAGACAAATCTCCGAATGCATGCGGCGGGACTTACGCAACTTCAATACAGCTCGTATTGAAGAAGCGATCGAGCGGAACCAAGGCTCCAAAGTCTTTGCCAGAGATCTGTCTGCCAGAAAGAGCCAACTGTCAAAGCTGAAGACAGAATGTGGCAGCATCGTTTCCAGGGCCCCTGAGATTTTGAGTGAGATTGAGAGGTTCTATGGGCAGCTGTACACGTCATCGTTGGAGCCACACGCGAGTGTGAGTAACGATCCAAGAGCGAGTCTTGTTCGACATTATTCCGATGATATCCCGGACGTCAGTCTGAGCGAGATTAGAATGGCTCTCCAGCACCTTAAAAATGGCAAGGCCCCAGGCGAGGATGGAATTACAGCAGAGCTTCTGAAAGCGGGTGGAAACCGGTACTTGAAGTCCTTCAGAAGCTCTTTAATTCCGTCCTCCATGGTGGCATTACGCCGGAGGCGTGGAGCAGAAGTGCGGTGGTCTTGTTTTTCAAGAAAGGCGACAATGCTCTCTTGAAGAACTACAGACCGATTTTCCTTCTGAGCCGCATCTACGTGCTGTTTTCGAGAGTCATTATGAATCGTCTCGCGCACAGACTTGACGACTTCCAGCCTCCCGAACAAGCCGGTTTCCGAAAAGGCTTTAGCACCATAGACCACATACATACCCTTCGGCAAATTGTACAAAAGTCAGAGGAGTACAATTTGCCACTATGTCTGGCGTATGTGGACTATGAGAAAGCCTTTGATTCCGTCGAAATTTGGGCGGTGCTGCAGTCCCTTCAGCGATGCCAAGTTGACTGTCGGTATATCGAAGTGTTGAAGTGCTTGTACAGTAGGGCTACGATGGCTATCCGAGTACAGAACCAGAGTACGAAACCTATCCAACTGCAGAGAGGTGTAAGACAGGGTGACGTCATATCCCCGAAACTCTTCACCGCTGCATTGGAAGACGTTTTCAAGCTTCTGGACTGGAAAGGATATGGTATCAACATCAATGGCGAGTACATCACTCACCTTCGATTTGCCGACGATATAGTCCTTATGGCAGAATCGCTAGAGGACCTGAGCACTATGCTCAATGACCTCAATAGTGCTTCCCAACGGATAGGTCTTAAGATGAACATGGACAAAACAAAGATCATGTTTAATGTCTATGTCACACCTATGCTGGTAGTTGTTGGGAGCACTAAGCTCGAAGTTGTTGACGAGTATGTTTACCTAGGACAAATAGTCCGACTAGGTAAGTCCAACTTCGACCGAGAGGTCAATCGACGGATTCAACTCGGTTGGGCAGCGTTCGGGAAATTACGGCACATCTTCTCGTCAGGTCCCCCCCCCCCCAGATGGAGTGACGACCTGCTAAGATATGCAGGAAGTCGATGGATGCAGGTGGCTCAGGACCGTGCTTTGTGGCATTCCTTGGGGGAGGCCTATGTTCAGCAGTGGACTTGTGAAGGGCTGTAATGATGATGATGAAAATATCTTACAGATTTTTAAAAGACAGACAAAATATACAAAAACATGTAAACGAAGAATAAGGATTGAAAGTGTAAGCTCAATATTAATGCTAGTCGGTAAATACAAGTGACACTTTGGTAAATACGGTGAACTACTTACTAGGCGAATGATTCGTTAGAAACCCATGTGCATCATGAATCTTTACATATAAAGTAGTACCTACTTTTAAAAACCACCAAAAGGATTGATACACTTTAACCAATAAGTAGGTACCCACAAGTTTTCTACCTAATTTTCTAGTCGTAACTGCTTTTCAATTCCTTTAAGACCTGTGTAGTTTTGTTCATAAAAAAATGTTCATAAAAATTCACCTTTTATGTGTATAGTTCCGCCCTTTTCTCCAGGCCCGATCATACAAACCAAGAGTAGTAATTTCAGTTTCAGTTCCTAACTTAGACAGGTTTACGTACCAACCTCGGCACACCCTGATGAGGAGGTGGAGGAAATGTATGAGGATATCTCTAGAGCCATGCATTCCTCCAAATCCCAATATACGGTGCTAATGGGAGACTTCAATGCAAAACTAGGCACAAGAGAGAAAGGTGAGCTGAAAGTAGGAAAATTTGGAATAGGGCAACGGAACCCAAGGGGCCAGCAGCTGGCCGACTTCATGGAGAAAGAGGGACTCTTTATGATGAACTCTTTCTTCCAGAAGCGGCCCCACAGGAAGTGGACCTGGTCGAGCCCCGATGGTTCGACAAAAAATGAGATTGACTTCATTATGACGACCAGACGACAACTATTCAGTGATGTCTCAGTGATCGCGAGGGTGAAAACCGGCAGCGATCACCGAATAGTTAGAGGCATACTGAACCTAAACGTTAAGTTGGAGAGGTCTCGTCTAATGAAGTCTACGCTCCGTACCCCTCGTGCTCTAATCCAAAGTCCCGAAACCTTTCAGCTCGAGCTACAAAACCGTTTTCAGTGCCTAGAAGACTGCAATGAAGTGGACGATATGAATGACAAGCTTGTGGAAACTGTCCATGCGGTCGGAGCTAAGTTCTGCAAGACCCGCCGCAGAAGAACACAAAAGCTCTCCGATCACATTCTTTATCTCATGGTTGTTAGACGGGAGATGAAGCTACATTCTTCAACAGATTTGACAGCATACAGGCAACTGAACAGACAAATCTCCGAATGCATGCGGCGGGACTTACGCAACTTCAATACAGCTCGTATTGAAGAAGCGATCGAGCGGAACCAAGGCTCCAAAGTCTTTGCCAGAGATCTGTCTGCCAGAAAGAGCCAACTGTCAAAGCTGAAGACAGAATGTGGCAGCATCGTTTCCAGGGCCCCTGAGATTTTGAGTGAGATTGAGAGGTTCTATGGGCAGCTGTACACGTCATCGTTGGAGCCACACGCGAGTGTGAGTAACGATCCAAGAGCGAGTCTTGTTCGACATTATTCCGATGATATCCCGGACGTCAGTCTGAGCGAGATTAGAATGGCTCTCCAGCACCTTAAAAATGGCAAGGCCCCAGGCGAGGATGGAATTACAGCAGAGCTTCTGAAAGCGGGTGGAAACCGGTACTTGAAGTCCTTCAGAAGCTCTTTAATTCCGTCCTCCATGGTGGCATTACGCCGGAGGCGTGGAGCAGAAGTGCGGTGGTCTTGTTTTTCAAGAAAGGCGACAATGCTCTCTTGAAGAACTACAGACCGATTTTCCTTCTGAGCCGCATCTACGTGCTGTTTTCGAGAGTCATTATGAATCGTCTCGCGCACAGACTTGACGACTTCCAGCCTCCCGAACAAGCCGGTTTCCGAAAAGGCTTTAGCACCATAGACCACATACATACCCTTCGGCAAATTGTACAAAAGTCAGAGGAGTACAATTTGCCACTATGTCTGGCGTATGTGGACTATGAGAAAGCCTTTGATTCCGTCGAAATTTGGGCGGTGCTGCAGTCCCTTCAGCGATGCCAAGTTGACTGTCGGTATATCGAAGTGTTGAAGTGCTT